ATTGAGCTACTGAAACATGCAGCACACATTAACATAAAATACATTATTCTCTTTTTTAGAGACTTTATTTTAGAAAGAGTGAGTGAGCAGGGGAAGGGTCAAAAAGAGAGGGAGAGAGAAAATCTCAAGAAGACTCAGCACTGAGCCCAGAGCCAGACACGGGGCTGGATCTCACAACCCTGAAATCATGGCCTGAATCAAAACCAGGAGTCAGAGGCATGACTGACTGAGTCATCCAAATGCCCCTAAAATACATTATTCTGAGGGGGGAAAAGCACCTTATTCTTTTGTGTTTTATGTTCCTCTTTTTATTTTTTAAATCATTTGTGAATGTTTAATGTTTTTATGATAGGATTTCAAGGATTAGGGCTAATCTAATTCTGCTGATTAATAGTTTCCTTGTGTAATTTGTCATTTTGGATTGTGAGTTCATCTTAAGTGGGCTTTATCTATGAGAATCTTAAGGCCAGGTTGAGGGTGTTTCGAAGAGCACTTAGTTTAGTGCTCACTTCTGCTAGTATGTCGCCTTTCCTCATTAGGCTTTTTATTAGAATCCCTCAGTTTATGGACTTTTGAGACTATGAAACTAGTGTAAATTCAAACTTCAATAGGCAAGTGTTAGGCCCATGGTTATGCTTTCTCAGGGAAGTCTAGTTTTGGACACATAGACCAGGTTGAGATGGATGAGCTTTATTGCAGTGGCCCTGTGCTAGAGAAGAGATTGTTTTATTCCCACTAGGGATGTAGCTGGGAAGTTCATGGAGTTTCAGTTCCAACTTCCAACCTTGCTAGAGTCAAGACCTTAATCCTAGACCACTGTGGCCAGTAAAATCCATGTGTACCCAGGGCAGCAGCTGTCCCCTGCCACCACCATCACCCCCACCGAGGCAGTCCCCCTACCATGTCACTTTATTTACCTCATGGTTTTGGGTGACTGTGAATTCTTTCTTTTGCAGTCAGCTCAGCCTTTAAAAAGAGGTCAGTTATATTTTAGTCACCATTTTGAATTGTTATAGTGGGAGGGTTTTCAAATTTTCTGTTCTACAACAGTGCTTGTCAAGTAAGTCTTGGAAACGCTATACTCCTTGGAGAGTCACATCATCGGCCTGGTAAAGGAATAAGAAACTGTTTCTCTATCACTCCCTCACACAAAAGGAAAACCGAAACCCAGAATCTATCCAGATGACTCAGCAAAGAACCTCCCATTGAGATAAATGTTGGTCCTATCTTTCCACGTGTGCAGCTTACACGTGTGCATGTCTTGGAGGGGTGCCAAATCCATCTCTGCCTCCGCAACCCCTCATCATGCTTCCTGGTCCCATGTACCACTTAAACTCTCATCTAGATCAGGTTCCTTTTGCATAAGCCCATATAGCATCCCTTAACTTCTCCCTTTGTAATTCTTATCCCACTTATTCATGTCCATCTTCCCAAATAAAATATAAACTCTCTGAAACACCCCACTCATCATTTGAAAAGTCTGGTATCTTGAGGATCAAATATAACAAAGTCCAGAAGGAAGCCAAAAAGCACAGGGCCATGTGCATCGCTCCCTCTCTTGCCACCTGCACGTTCACGTGGCTGACATTTCTCGGTTGCTTACTCTTCGTGAGACAGGCAGGTGGCACAGGTAGGTAGAATAAAGTCTCTGTGGCAAAGAGGCCAGCTCTCTAATCTCTCTCTTCTTAAGCACATGGCAAGATGACATACCTGAGCCTCCCTTTTGGTTAGGCTTGACCCCGTGACTTTGTGACTAGGTCCTTTTGTGGGAATGAGAAAAGAAGTAATGCGTGTGTGCCTCTTGGAAGCCTGACTTTGAAATCTCCCAGAAGAACTCTTCCATATGCTCTTCCCTTCAGACTGGTGGGATGAAAATGGCCATAGCTGCCTTCGAAGCCACCATGTTAGACAGCAAAGCCTCTCCTGACTTGGGTCCCAGAAAAACCTGCACAAAGCACAGCTACTGTTATTTGGGATGGCTAACCTAACCTAAGAGAAGCAGAAATAAAATTCTTGTTCTTAAAGCCTCTGAGATTTGGGAGTCTGTTAACACAGCCTAGACTCTCTAATAGCTAACAATCTTGAGAAATTCACATGTTCTAAGAAAGAATTCCTATTATTTTGGAATATGTTCCAGAGTCTTCAAGATTGGGGCAAAGCAGGGGATTGCATTTTGCAGTTCAGGGTTTTTGACTTCAAAAGCTGCAAGTTTTGTTCCCACCAAGGATGCATGACTAAGTTCACCTATGGTGCGACACTGCATAATGGATAGTCTTCTCTATATAGACAAATGAGCCTACTGAGCCATTCTGTCTGAGGGAATGACTGGGTGGTATGGAAGTTCAGTCATTTTCTTCTTACTACACTTCCCTCTACCATCTTTCAAAAGTGGAAAATCCAATATCCATAGTTCAGTCCCATAGGGGGTTTAAGAGAGTCACCTCCTCTCTTTTGTGCCTTTCCAATGCTATGGTGATAGGAAGGATTAGGTGTAGACCAGTCTTCTGAATGCCTTAGGAGACCAGGTCAGTCCCAGTGTCTTGAAGTATTAGCAGCATTCTTAGCCATCTGCACCAGCCCTGACCACCTCCAGACCTCAGGGCTGAGGGAAACCTAAGAAGTGAGTGACATTGAGTTTCTATAGGTAACACAATGGCTATAACAAAGAGGATGTCTTGGATCTTTGCACTTGTTCTTGGTTTGAAGCACTTTCCGGAGCAACTAAAAGGCACCTGGTTTGCATTTCATCAAGTCAAAGAGAAGGAAGGAAGGAAGGGAGGGAGGAAGGGAGGAAGGGAGGGAGGAAGGGAGGAAGGGAGGGACGGAGGAAAAGAAAGATAGGGGAGCAAGCAGACTGGACAGAGGATGGGCACATGAAAATTATTTTTTTTAACAAAGCAGTATTTTTCACTGCCTAGGCAAATGACTTTTGTGAAAATACTTCTATGAAAAGCAATATACTGTTTTGATTTTACTCAGCGCTATCATTAGGCTTGGATGCAAACAGAAGTTTACAATAAAATAAAAACATATATGATCAAAGACTGTATATAATTTTGTGATAAGGTGATTTATAATTCAAGCAGTGTACTGCTTGAGACTCGTATTTTGATTCCCCATTCCAGATGCTGCAGATGCTCTCTGAGGAAGCAAAGAACACATGGATGAAGAGAAAAATAATTAACTATCACTGAGCTAAATAATTAAGACTATCACAAACAATATAAATAACAAATTTATAATGTATTACAATACAAATAAACAGCATTTTTAGTGTAAATACTGCATTTGCACAAAGAAGCTATTTAGTAACAAATACAATGAAACTACATCAGAAACATGTGAAAATGATCTGAGTCACACATATGCAGGGACACAGTTCCCACAAAACTTGACCAAGAAGAAGCCATCTGAAGGCCATGTGCCGGTCTGAAACCACCAAAGGCCTTCTAACCAAATCTCCTGGTTCAGAAAAGCTGCTCAAAAGGTTGCCCCATCAAGGTTCATCATCATTTGGTTTTTCAAGAGGCACTGATCCCAAGAGGATCGAAACGTCAGACTAAGGTAAAGATACTGAACAAGAAGGAACTTTTCTGTTGGCACAAAAGATTCACATGAATACTTTTCAAAATGTTGTATTTGACAGGATGGGTCTGTTACGCACTTATAATACTGGCAAAAATAACACTTCAATACTGAGCTGGACAGAGATGAGTTGATAAACATTAGCGAAAGCACCAATCTTTCCCCTCTTTCTCTCCCTTCATGCCAATTTAACATTTTATACTGAAATCTTCGGTGGACCTTATTGTTCACATGTATTTGGGCTCTTTAATGTTTACCATCCTGGAAAGAGCATACAGGCTCCACTCTTAAAGACTTGGTCATAAAAAAACATAAAGGCTAAGTGCTTGCCTTTGAAGACGTTTTTTTCTCATCCTTTCCCAAAGGTCTTACAGGATGCCGGCTCTGCAGACTTACATATCCTCAAATCACGCAGCAATGCTGTAGTTATCAACAAGGATTTGGGCCATAAAAAGGTCAAAATTTGACTTTCTCCCCTGCTAAAAGCCAACCTGGCTAAAGCTTGTTTACTTTTTATTACAGTCGTTAGTTTGGATTTCTTTTTGTAGTTAGAGAGGCCTGTGCTAACAGGGCCCTTACACACCAGATAAGGTGTAAGTATGCACCCGTGAGGTGAGGTTCGGGGACCTGTGAAGTGAATGAGTACTGCCTGTTACCCCATTCAGTGCTTAGACTTCAAAGAAAGAAACTAATAAAAGGTAGCTAGAAGTTTCAGATTTTCCCTCTCATCAGAGAAAAGAACCCTGCTCCAACTACTCACGCAAAACGCACTGCTCCCCAGTACAGTCTATAGTCACTTTTATTTAATTTTCCTAATTTTGATTTACATAAAATACTCTTCTATAATTAGAAAACTAATATTGCAACATAGGGAAGCATGATTATTTTTTATTTTTTTAACCAAAACCATGTTTCCACACATTTGACTTCTGGATTAAATAGATTATCTCCAGAAAAAAATCCATAAAAGCCTATTGGAATGTTAATCTAATTTCAAATTATTTTAGGTTAACTTTTTTCCCTTTAGTTTTTTATTCAGTAAATACTGGAAACAAACCTACAGGCCTCAAGTGAAAAGAAATTAAATTAGATGTGTACTTTTCCAGCCATTTAGTAAAAACCCCACTTTTTGCCAGGATATTAAAAAAAAAAATGGTTCCTATAGCCACAGAAGCTTCAACTTTTAGTGGATCTTCTTCTCTAAGCTGTTTTCTCCTCTTCCTCCGATTTTTTTTTTTAAGTATTGTTGAGAAAGAACATACATTTCTCTTGTTATATAATTAGGTATTATTTGGGGTCCAGTAGAAAATTGGCCTTATGTTCATAAAAAGCAAAAATAGATTTTATTTCTTCATTCCTTTCCTTTTGGTCAAATACTCCACTTTAAAAAACAATTTTTTTAAATATGAGGAGTGGGAAAGGGGGGAGGTATTATGCAGAAAAGCCAAACTATGAAAACTTTTATTCCATACCTCTGAACTTGAACTTAATGATCTTTGAAAACTTTGTTTCAGCTGATTATAAGAGAAAGAAATTCAGTGACAGAAGCACAGGCTCCGCTCAGCAATGAACCAGAAAAGCTTTCCATGATCAGGGAGATGGAGCTGCCACCATCAGAACCATGGTGCTTGGGCTGAGGATGTGTTAGAGACGTACATGGCAGGAGGGGCAGGAAATGAGCCAAAGTCAAGGTTTTCCCAGTCTGTCAGTTCTGTGATGGCCTCAAACTCAAGGTGCTGTTGCTGCGAAGAGAAAAACTACTGGCGACTCCTCATGAACCTCATAGTACTGAGGGATGAGACTGTCAGGTAACTGAGTTAGAAAGATGAAAAATAACCATCTCTAAAAATTGGGCTCTGTCAGAATAAAAACTCCCTTTGTGTGAGGCTTGCAACAGGCCCATTCAGCCACTCGAGGGTGGAGGGTCTCAGCACCTCCCCCTCCTCTAGGGAGCCTGTGTTCAAAGTTAATACAAGGTAAGGGTTATCAAAACAGCCAGACAGGAGTATATTGCATATTTCTTTATAAAGATGACAGAAACTTTTTGAATTTCATAAACCTGTATTACTTGTTTTTCTGTCTGGACCCAAGGGGTGTAGGATCAACTTTAGACATCTTTCATAAGCTTGGAATCTAATTTTATGAATTTATTCTAAGACATAAATCAGGTAAGGCAGAAGTAGATGGATGGATTCTTTAAAAGAAATCGGGCCCCTTGGGTACTTTTAGTAGATTGAGTATTGAGAGATTTACAGGGATAAAATTCTTTACAAGATTAAGGAAGAAGGAAACGAAACCAAATCTTTCATTTCCAGATATTCACTTTCATTAATTCTTTCACCAAAAGCACATCACTGAAAGAAAACCAGAAATGGTTTTGCAGTTAATATTAAAGTGGTTCAAGAGCCAGGGAACCCCTTGAGATGGAAGCAAAACAACAAAGTATTCAAGTTCTCTTCACAAGACAACCTTGTCCTGGGCAACACTTAGGGCACTTCTGGCTTCAAAAAGAATTTTGCTAAAGGAACCTTTTGGGGGGAAAAATTACTACGTTTTGGCAAACAACAACAAAAATCTCTCCTGTAAAATCCCTGCTTCCCTTTTGAATCTCCAAAGGTTACAACATTTCATTCAAGACGCTTGGCAGTCACGGCTCCGTGGGCTTTGGTTCTGGATTATGTAAACCCTCAAGTCAGAATGAAGGCGGCTGATGGGAAGCGGCGGCTGCCGGAGGCCGCTCACTGAGGAAGTATTGTGAAGAGCTTGGGGCGCCTGCAGGCCGGTGGCGGGAAAGCTGCAAATGCTAAAGGTAAGAAGTAAATCCTAACAAAGGAGGTTCGGAGAGTTGGGATGGCGTCCAAGCTCTCTTCTACCATAAAATCCAGGGCCCTCGCGGTTTCTATCTCTGGAAAAGCATCTCCGTACCGCGGTGGCTGATGTCTCTTACAGTTTGACAAAAACAAATACTTAACACAGAAGACTTCCCATGCACTGTGAGGATGGTCGTGGTGCTTGGCTTTCGTGTTATGGCGCCTGCGGGGTGCTTTCCCTGGTCAGGACTCTCTAGCCTCAAGCCAGTGAAGGTGTGCCCATCCCAAGTCCCCGGGCAGATCCCCACACCCGGTTTGTTTCTCCGTTTCCTGATTGTCATGCCCGAAACGCTCTCATTAACCTACATGAGGCTCAATGCCAGAGACTACATGACTAGAGATCGCTTTTTTAAGAGAAGCTTGCTCATTCAGGAAAAAATAAGGATTTGATTTACACTGCAGACCTGAGGGAAGCGGACCTTCTCCTTCGGTCTGAATGCTCGGAAATACTGTCATTAGACTTGCGGTCCCTTAGCGGCGTGCTGGCTTTTGCGCTGCCTCACTGTGTCTTCCGCCGCCTCAGTGTGGGTGGCGCTGGGCGGCTCAGGCAAGTCTTCCTCAGGCTCAGCTTCGCCCTCCTCCTGGGCTTCCCTCAGGGGCCCCTGGTCCTGGGCGTCATTCCTCTCCTCGTCCGCGGGGGCAACCGAGCCGTCCTCCTCCTCGTCCTCCTCTACTTCGTCCTCATCAGCAAGGTCTTCTTTTTCTTCTTCGTCATCTACAAGGCTGTCCTTGTTTTCTTCTTCATTCGAATCATCTTTTTCCTCCTCTGCGTCCTGCGGCTGTTCGGCTTTGTGAGCCTCCTCTGACTTCCGTGTCTGCTCTGTGGAGGGAAGAGAAGGGAACGTCCTCTCGATAAACTGATCACTCAGCAGGCCATCGAGTGTGTTTAGTCGTGAAATGAAGCCGGGGTTGGGGCGGTGGGGGGGCGGGTACGTGACAGTTTTCTCCACTCTGAAGCTGTGCTATCCCACAGCACGAACCTCTGGCTGATGGTGTCCTACCTCCATCCGGGGCTTCCCTGATCGTGTCTGGAGATTTCCTTGACCCTGCTGACTTTGGTAGAGAACAGAGGGCAAGGGTTCCTTCATGCCTTATATTTGGTACCTTATAGAACACTCTGTGACCCACCCACTGGTCAGGTGATTGGTTGAGAAATGTGACTTAAGTCAAGCCAATCACAGGACTTCCCAGGAGCTTTCAGCCAGAGTCAAGGGGATAAGCCTTCTGTCTTCCCACGGGATTTGTTCAGCTGATAATATGCGACTTAGGGTTGTTGACAGCCCCTGAATCAGCCACATAGAACCGGAAACCCAACATCCCTTGGGCTGTGCCTGAAGCCAGAACATCCCTGGATCTTGCAATTATGTGAGTTAATAAATTTTCCTTTTTTTCCTAAGTTACCTTAAACTGGATTTCTGTGATTTTTAAGAATTCTAAACATAATATATTTTCTAATTATCTATGAAAGTCTCCAAGCCTTGACAACTTCAAGAACTCAAAAGAAACAGAAGCTTATTTAAACTCCCACATAAAATGCAACAATTATAAAGTTTCATAAAAGTCTTCACGCAAAGTCTCAAAACTAGGAATAAAAGCATGCAAATCCAAGGCTCTTGAGTCCCACAAATGGTGTGGGGTAGTGCAAGGATTTGGGAAGACTGTTCTTACAGGACTTAGGAGAGTTAATGGTACACAGTTGAGACTCAATAAATATGAATTTCCCTCCCTCATTCCAGTTTGAATGAAGGAAAAGGTATCAACTAACTGATGAAGGGCATACACTTAAAGGGAAAAAACAATTGCCAAAATGAAGTATTCCCTAATTTAAGGAAGAAAAAAAAAAGAACTTTTGTTCAAATCTGATGTAGAGAATACATTTCAAAGAATTTGGTAGTGGTGATGGTTTGCACACCTACTGAATTACGGGGGAAGAATCTAGTATCTCTTTGAGCACAAAAGGATACACCACAGAATTCCAAAAATACTCTATCACATGAGTTTTTCATACTTACCAGTGTGTTCAGATAAATGCTTTGGAAATGGTAGATAGAAACATTCTGATATTACCACCAGGACCTGGAGAGAAAAATGTGATTTCACAGTGACTAGATATTTATTACCAAAGAACCTCAAATGTAGGCCTTGGTTCTATAACCAGATGTTCACAGACAATTAATTAGCAGTTGGTCAAAAGTCCTCAAAAAAGACATGGATACAATTAAGAATCTCCTATTTTTCAAATGAAACAATATAGGAAAATATTATGAATATATAACAGGAGTTGGGGTCACAAAGTCAAATGTCTATAGAGAGCCCATTAAAAATAGGTATATCAAACAAAGTATAAGAAAATGGATACTTTGAGCCAAGCCTAAAATGGCCTTTTAAAAAAACACTCCTCTGGCCAAACAAAATTAGTCTGCATATGGCTGCCTCTCACCCATGGGTAACCACTGACTGAATAAAAGATGATGTCAGGGGCTAGAATTCTTAAGAGTACCATAAGAAATTTCTACAGAAATAAATTGTGAGAAAAGTCATTGATGGTATGAACTAAACCCTATTTTAGACAGTGATTGCCTTGGCTTCGTCTTCAACCTTACTGCAGCATGACTCATTTTCTACTTGCTATAAGCATCCCTCTCCCTTTGTAAACTACAAGCTCCTTGGAGGCAGGTTCCGCCCAATCCCTGTTCCGTGCCGGGACTGGCATGGGTCACGGTGATGAGGCTACAGATTGTGTCAAAAAGGGCACAGTTCTCTGACTGGGAATAAGCTGTAGTCATTCTTCACACCTTCCCCTACAGCACCCCACAACACAAACATCCACCCAGAGAGAAGCTACCTGTTTAGAAGGGCAATCCACTTCTTGTACCTAGCTAACTCCTGGACTGTCCCTTTACTTTGAATAATTGCAGGGCTTTAAAATAATACTACTACTTCATACATTAGTGTTTTAAAGGTGCTTTAAAATGTTAAAGAACCTAAAGAAGTCATAGTACTTTTGATTCAATTTCATAAACATCAAATGAGTACCCTACTTTGTGTTCAGAATTATTACCATCTGTATATTCATTTTTTACTCAAAATTTGGTTCATTAGGTTCCAGGTATCATGTCAACTTCTGCGGGGAGAAGATTTAAAAAAAAAAAAAAAAAGGAAAAAATGGAGGTTTAATTATAAAGCAATATGGAACATGAATTCCATAAGAAAAAATGAATAAAGCACTTTGACAGATATTCACGAGATACAGATACGACAACCAGTTCTAGGTTTGGGAAGGATCAAGAATGGCCACTTGAAGGAGGCAGCTTTTAAGGCCATGGGCATGGTCCAGAGTGGATGGGTAGCACCAGCTGCCAGCTCTTCTAAGCTACACCAAATTGACCATGGGGGGACCGCTCACCAAGCAGGGGTCCAAGCAAGTGACAACTCCTGCGAGATCTGGCTCCTTCCCCAGGGAGGAGCACTGTGGGGCAGAGCCATAAGGCAAATGCTCCAGAGCAGTGGCCAAGCCTGGGGGTGGGGGGTGGGAGGGACACTCCTCCCTACCTGGAGGGTCGGTAGGGGCAAACACCCTAGGAGTCCAGGAGTCTGGCACACACAAAAGGGATTGACTGCCTTTCCCTGAGGGTGCACTGAAGAGAAGGGGCAGTGATCCTTCAGCCTGGGGGCTGGAGATCAGGGAGCTGCCCTTTGTTACTTTTTTTTAATCCCGTAAAGTGGTGTGAACAGCCTTCAGGGAACAAAAGTCCCACAGAGCAAAGGGAAGGAGCTTCCACTGAGCCCTGCCAGGAGAGGTGCAATTCGGTGCACCAGGCCCCACCCCCAGATTGGCAGGATCCTCAGCAAATAACAGGTTTACAGATGGCTCAGAACTGGAAAAACAAAAACAAAAACAAAAACAAAAAAACAACCAAAAAAAACTGCACTAGAGTAAGATAGTATATAGAATTAGAGGTTGGGACCTTGTTTACAGGTGAAAAATAACATTTAGTAACATGTTTTAGTTGTAACGAGGTTCAATCAAGAAAACAAACAAAAATCCAAACTAGCAGACTTGTTTTGATTTCTCGTCTTTTTAAAATTAGGAAAAAGTAGGAAACAGAATAGTTAGGCTTATGTGGAACAGTAATTTGATCAGGAAATCACTCCTCTATGGAAAATACCATGCTCCTGCTGGCCACTGTGTAAGATAAACTGTAGAAAGATTCATAGAGAGAAGAACTTCCAGAGACACCAGGACCAAGCTCCATACGATTGCACACCTGGGCTCTGCTTTCAGCCCTCAGTTAATGGCAAAGGTGCCACAGAGCACAGAAGGCACAGCTGCAGACCTTCCTGAAGGCTAAAATTCTAGCTGTTGTGCACTTTTTAAAATATATATTACAGTTGTAGAAAAGGGTCAGAGATATATGTTTGGTATTTTATGGAAATGGATTACCAGAAAATGTATGACTCTTACTACTTTGAAATCATTATCCTTTTGTTAAAGAAAGCTCTCCTCCCTACTTCCTTTAAGGAATAATATTCTATATCCTTTAATCACTTGAATAGTCTAGAATCAACTCTCTTCTTTCTTCAGGCCAAATCTTAACAACCTTCCTGGACTGATTATTTGAATCAAAGTTTCTGAATGAACTTAGGGCATAGGCCTGACCTGATTTCTTGAACTTAAAGTTAACCTCAAAGATAAAATTCACAAACTCTTGATGCTGAGAAGACTTTCCAGTGGTCTTTCAATAGGCTAACACTCAACCTACGTTCTCTACAACTCCAACTGAGAACCACCCAGGATCTCATGGGGTTCCCCCTTCAAAAGCCTCATTTTCATGGGCTCTAAAATACACTGCTAGAAAAATCTAGCACCAGACAGTAGATGAGAGAAGCATATTTATGTCCAGTCAGATTTATATCCAAAGTCAAATCCTTTTAGGCCAGACCATGAGGGTCACATTGGTTAGAAATAAGATTAATGTGACCTAATGAACAACATATCTTGAATTCCAGTCCCACCTGTGGAGTTAACACCAGCAGTCAGATCTCAGATATAAGCCATAGCATGAAGTAAGCATGTTTGCAGCAAAATAAAATCAAGCCTCCTTGGCTTCTTGAAGTACAGCTTTGTTGTAACAAGTTATATATCAATATATAGCTATACATACACACACACACACACACACACACACACACACACACACACACACACACA